TATATGTATATATATATACACATATATACGTGTATATATATATATATATTTATGTTTATATATGTATATATATATATATATATATTTATGTTTATATATGTATATATATATATATATTTATGTTTATATATGAATATATATATACATTTATGTTTATATATGTATATATATATATATTTATGTTTATATATGTATATATATATATATATATATGTATAGATGTATATATATATATATATATATATATATATATATATATACATATATATATATATACATATATATATATATATATATATATATATATATATATATATATATATATATATATATATATATATATATATATATATATATATATATATATGTATATATATATATATATATATATATATATATATATATATATATATACATATATATATAAATACATATATGAACATAAATATATATATATATATATATACATATATATATAAATACATATATGGACATAAATATATATATATATATATATATATATATATATATATATATCTTTAAAAGTCATTTCTTGTTATACGATTTATATATATATATAATATGTAAGTTCTTCTTTTTTTGATCTTTATCAATAACATGCCAGAATTAATTAAAAATAATTGCAAACTATTTGCTGATGATAGCCAGTTGGTTGCCAAAATAAAAACAGTTATGGACTTGGCATTATTCCAAAATGATATTGATATGTTATGTAATTGGTCAAGACTTTGGTGCATGGAACTTAACATAAATAAATGCAAGGTTATAAAGTTCTGTAGTGGTTCTATATACATCAATATCCCCTTGACGATGTTAGATAAAAATAGCAGTCACATTCCTATTGAAGATGTATCTGTTGAAAGAACATTGGGTGTTCTGATAAATAATAAACTGAAATGGTCAGAACAGATTAGTGATGCCACTCTTAAAGCTAACTTTGTATTTGGGATACTCAAAACAATTTTTAAAAAATGAAATCCAAGTATGGTTGTGAAAGCCTATACAGCATATGTAAGACCGATTTTGGAGTACTGCGCACCGATTTGGTACCCTTTTCTTCAAAAAGACATTAAAAAGTTAGAATCAGTTCAACATAGAGGTACCAAACTTGTTCCACTATTGCAGTGCTAAGCATAAAATTGAACGAGAATTATCAAAATCTTAAAGACATAACTTCTTTAAAAATCGAGTGGTGTCATCATGGAATGCTTTGCCTGCTTCAGTAGTTGCTGCGAATTGAGTTGATCGTTTCAAAAACAATTACGACAAATGGAATCGTTCTATCTCACATCGGTCTACTATAGTCAGGTCTCGTTAGATACTCGACTCATAGAAGTCAAACTTCTATTGTAGAAAATACTATAATAATAATAATATATATACATCTACATTTATATACTATAATAATAATAATATATATACATATACATTTATATTTATACATGCATATATGTACATAGGGGAAAGCGGGGCAACATGGCAAACGTTTTGAAAGCCCTGAGTTATTGCAAAACTATCAGTCATGAAGCAATAATACTTTCTCAGTATGTTTATGCTATTAAAATGATTCATTGCCTGCATGAATTTTTAGTTTGCAAATATAACAAAACTTGAAATAAATATTTGAAACAATATTTGAAATAAATATTAAAATTAAAAGTTTATAAATTTGTCATCTTGTCACATGACCGGGGCAAGATGACTTATTACGCAATTTTTGCCTCCAATTTTATAAAACTTAAAAAATTATCAATAACTTTAACTAAAGTAACACAAAATAAACACAAATCGCAAAAAACTACTCCTAAAGAATTTAAACTTCAAGGACACCATCTATTATGAGAAACCAAAACTGAGGAATTCTTTTTTAAGCGCAAAAAATAAACTTATGTGTATAAAGCTGCATTAATAATATTTAAAAAAATCAATTGGTGTTTTAAAATACAAGATACAAATACAGTTTCGTTTTCATCCAATTTTAAGATTTTTTGTTGCGTTGTTATATAAAAACCCATCTTGCCCCATTCGCTATTTTGCCCCACTTTCCCCTATATATATATATATATATATATATATATATATATATATATATATATATATATATATATATATATATATATATATATATATATATATATATATATATAAATATAAAAATAAGTAAATGACCAGGGCTGGTAGATGACTGTGGCTAAGCCCGGTTCTACGGCAGAGACTGCATAAATATTAGTACATATTGACTTATTTTTATATATCATATCAATATGCACCAATATTTATACAGCCCCAACCATAACCCTGCTTTGGCCCAGGTCAAATACCAGCCGCGGTTGTTTCCCATATATATATATATATATATATATATATATATATATATATATATATATATATATATATATATATATATATATTAATAAAGTAGTTTAATTGTTGTAGGTGCTGAAGTCCCCAGATATCTCCCTATTATAATATAACATTGCTAAAGCAGTTGACATGTACTCAGACACCCTGTGGTACTTCCCAGGTAGTAATAACTGACTAGTAACTGTTATTTCATAAGTTAAAAATACATTTTATTCATTTTTAAAGTTTAAAATCATTAATTATCAGTAATGAAAGACTTTAAGAAAATTAAAATGGTATTTGATATTCATTTTTAAATGGTATTTGATATTTATTTTTAAATGGTATTTGATATTTATTTTTAAATGGTATTTGATATTTATTTTTAAATGGTATTTGATATTTATTTTTAAATGGTATTTGATATTTATTTTTAAATGGTATTTGATATTTATTTTTAAATGGTATTTGATATTTATTTTTAAATGGTATTTGATATTTAATTGAAATATTTGAATGAATTTGAAAACTGAATTTAAAAAAAGATCTTGAAAATATTGTTATTAAAAATTTCTACAGTTATTTCTTTATCATTATTAGAATTTCTAAAAAAATTGCTCAAAAAGTTCTAAACTCAAAACTCTTTGAGCAATAAAAAAAATTTCTTTCCAAACTCAAAGAGTTTGGAAAGACGTTTAAAAATCACAAATCTTATTATTATATACAGTTTTCTTTTATGAAAATGCTTCCAGTTCGTGAATGAATGAAAGAGAAACTAACAATAGAAGCTTAAATTAGATAAGTATTTTTTTACTAATTTATATTTAAATACAGTTGTGGACATAATCATAATAGAGTTCAAAATTAACAATATTTACTTTATGTATTTTTTTCTTTAACAGTTACTGTTAATGCAATTGAAATATTGAATAATGAAATATATAGATTTAAGATGATATTCCACGAAGTACAATTTTTTTTTATTTTCATTAAAGTATTTACATTAAATATATAATTAAAAAAAAAAGGTTGGGCACAATAATAATAGTATTTATTGTTTTAATGTTTATTACAAACTATCTTTTTGAGATTCGTTCAAAGGTTTTTATTTGGATTGAGATTTGGTGACTGCGCAGGGCAATCCATAACTTTAACCCCCTTCTCCACATACCAGTTTTTTACCCCATGGCTAGTATGATCATTGTCTTGCATGATGATATAGTATGATCATGATGATCTAATATAATCATTGTCTTGCAAGCCCATTTTAGTGGCATATTTTTTTTCTACATAAGACAACATGGTGATTTGTAATATTTCTAGATAAAAGTTGGTCCATAATTCCATATAGATGGGTCCAACACTGTTATAAGGAAAAACAAACCTAACTATTTATTTTTAATCCACATGTTTAGCAGCCTTTAAAGTGTATTGTAATTTGTAGGCAGAACTAGCTGGCCTTCTTACGTATACCCTGCACTTGACCCAACTAAAACAATTTTGCTTTCATCAGACCACCAAATGTTTTGCCTATCTGCATACTGCTCTGGTAGAAACTCTAGATATTAAATCTTTTTTTATTTTAATTCAATTTATACATTTTTTTTTCTTTGATTTGACAAAAAATCACATAAGGATTAGCAACAACAGTACATTTTAATACTCGCTCTGAATGCTAATTTTTTTTTCTTTTTCAGCCCCATTCATCAACTTTTTCCCATTTTAATGCATTCCTTATCATCATAGGAGAACAAAAAGTCTATTGAATAAATTCATGTTTTTTCTCTCTTGTTTTAATTTTACAACAGCTTTTCTTTTTTCTTCACTGCTATGCTTCCACAGCCCATAATTTCGGTTAATATAAAATAAAACTTCTCAATTACTAAGGATATTTCATTAAATTGACATTATTAGTATTCTTACCTTTGATAAATGTCAATAAAGTCTAATAAACAAAAAACTAATGCATATAAAACGACAGCAAACAACAGATATGTGTTTTTACAAAACAAATCTTAACATAAAGCTAATGGAAATAAAAATCATGTTTCAACTTGAACAATGTTATCAATGTTGTGGCTCAGAATGTTACCTGTATCAATATTGTAGCTCAGAATGCTACCTAAAAGTGTTATTATTTACTTAATCAATAACACAATTATTTAAACAACATTTTAAATTAAACAAGATTTTAAATTAATATTAATAAAATTATTAATAACTATTTTGCTAAACACTAAAAATTTTGCTAAAAACTATTTTGTCCACAACTATATATTAGGGATGTGATTTTTTGGTAAATTTTTGGTATTTCCAGTTTCCAGTATAAAAAACAGATGAACTTTGGTTTGAAAGTAACTGAAAAGTCATTGGTTTTATTTAATTTTTTAAAAAGGTCACCTAACACGACCCTTGATTACGCACTGACTCTCATATATCAGTGAACTTCTTTTTCTTTCAAAAGTATATCAACCTGGTTCTTGAAAGAACTTTATAGTGAACTTTCGAAAATCTTTTTTACTGAAAAAGCAAATAAAACAGCAAAAAAAGTTGTGGATTTCTAATATAGAGTCTTCCACGCGCAGATGTAAATCCAAGTATTCTAAAACAACAGTAAAAAAACAGTAAAAAAAAACCTTGAAAAGTTGTGGATGTCTAATATAGAGTCTTCCACGCGCAGATGCAAAGCCAAGTATTCTAAAAAAAGTTTTATGATTTGAATAATAATTAGTTTAAAAAATGTTTACATTAGTAAACACAACAAAGCTGTTAATAGTATTCATAAATAATAAATAAAAGTGTAAATTATTTAAAAAAAACAACTTACACTTTTATTTATTATTTAGTTAAACTTTTAAACATCTTTTTTAGTTAAACTTTTCAATTTTTTTTCCAGGAAACAGTAAAAAGAATTAAAAAAAAAAATTTATTTGCTGATTTCAAATAAAAATCAAAAAATACTTGTTTGCTTTAACACCCATGATCACTTCAACATCTTCGTTCAATCTTGATTCCTCCCACTATGTAAATTAATAACTAAATTATAACTAAATAATTTATAGCTAAAAAATAATAAAAATAGTGAATATGTAAAAGTAACTAAAATATGAAGTAAAACATTAAAAAAAAAAATTTAATAAAAAGTTTTTTATTAAACTTTGTAAAAAAAATATTTAAAAAATAGTTTGAAACGCCAAAAACGGTTTTCAGCTGTTACTTTAATTTTTAAAACAAAACTTGTTTTCAAATATAAAGTCAATTTTCAAAAAGTAAAAAATGTGAATAAGTTAAAAAAAGGAATAATTTTTATAATTTTGGAATAAAAATATTTTTTCATTTAAAAATAATTTCAAAAATAATTTTAATGTATTTTAACTAAGTTGTAAAGATACTGATCGATCTGATGGAAATGAATGATTTAAAAACTGTTGTCTGATGGAAATCTTGTAAATGTTGGGAAGCATCTTACACTTATTCTTAGATAGCAAGTATGATTGGCTATAAGAGCTGAAGATTTACAATACTTCAAGAATAGACATTTAAATGCTAACCCAAGGTGGTATTTAGCAATGCTAACCCAAGGTGGCCACTCAAATTTGAAAAAGAAATTCCTTGATTTTTCCATGATTTTTCCATGACTTTTTCACTGACATTTCACTTGACCATGAATTTTAGTGACAAATCACTAGAGTAAAATATTCAGTACTCGCCATGCATTAAGCATTTGCAACTTGGTCATTACAAAACATGCATTAAGCATTTGCAACTTGGTCATTACAAAACATGCATCAAGCATTTGCAACTTGGTCATTACAAAACATGCATTAAGCATTTGCAACTTGGTCATTACAAAACATGCATTAAGCATTTGCAACTTGGTCATTACAAAACATGCATCAAGCATTTGCAACTTGGTCATTACAAAACATGCATTAAGCATTTGCAACTTGGTCATTACAAAACATGCATTAAGCATTTGCAACTTGATCATTACAAAACATGCATTAAGCATTTGCAACTTGGTCATTACAAAACATGCATTAAGCATTTGCAACTTGGTCATTACAAAACATGCATTAAGCATTTGCAACTTGGTCATTACAAAATATGCAAACCAAAAACTAATTGGTAGAAAGTTCTGAAATCAGTCAGAAAAAAACTTTTTTTAATTTCTCTAATAACTTACACTGCAAAAAATATCTTTTTCAAAAAGGACTAGGACTAGACATACTTGTACTTTTTTTTGCATCTCACAAGTAGAAAAAAATAAAGATCATTTTAAAAAGTTCCATCATTTCATCATTCATCAGTTCCATCAAAAGTTTCCAAGTCATCATCAAGTTTCCATGACTTTCAATGAAAATTTAGGAATTCCATAACTTTTTCCATTACCAAATAAAGTTCCATGACATTTCCATGATTTCCATGACCAATGGCCACCCTGTAACTAACTCCAGATTCCATTCAAATTTTATAAACATTTCTAAAGAAACTCAACCTGATATAGTTTTAAAAATAAAAGATGTTTAACAGTTAGAAAAACCACCAACATATACAAGCATATTTCAAGGTGTTCTTTCACAATTGATAATATAGAACCAGTCATATAACTCATTATATAACTTGAACTCAACCCAAAATCAAAGTTTTTACTTAGGGTTGTGACACCCAACAAGGGCATCTAAGTTATTATTTCATCAGGTTTTACATATCAAAAAATTTGGGAGGATTTGTTCAACACTAATTTGTATATACATTTAGTAAATTTTGCTGTCTAGTATGTTGTTGTGCTTAAACAATAATAGAGTAATTATAGTTACTTTTTTTCCCATTTTTTTTTTGTTTCATGAGATAAACTTTATAAACTCTAAAAATTTCATAAGTATTATTCTGTAAAACATACTTTGGCAATAAGGGGTTTCATTATCAATCAACATGTCCCTGGTAGTACCGTGTCACTGGTAATACCATCCCCACCACACCCATGGTAGTACTGTGCTCAACTCATTTCTCTGCACAGCAGCCTCATTCTTCGAGGTTTGTGTTTTGGAGTTATAAAGTTGAGAGAGGGTTATAAACACAAATAAGTAGCCTCCTCATCTGTAGTGGCCTTCTCGGCCTTGAGGAGGTGAATTAAAAAAAAAAAAACACCTATGAATTTTGATCCATGTAAAACTGATCTAGGTAATGCAGGAATCAAAGAAATAAAAGTTTGGGGTCTCAAGTTAAATGGGGTCTAATGAGTGGTCCTTTCATCCTTTTGTTTTTCTATCCTTTTCATGATAAAAAGACACAAAAAAAAAAGAATATCAATATAGCAGCTGGTTTCCATAGCAGCTGATTCCAGAAATGACAAATGAAATCTTAGAGTCTTTACCAGCACTACATACACTATTTACATTGATAAAGTATTGAATGGTAATTTACAGCAGGTTTTTTTTTTAAAATCACATCTGTTTTTTTAAATGTATTTTAATCTCTTATTTTTATTCTAGCTTTCTTTGCATCGCAAAAAAGTTTTTTTTTGTATCACAATTACTGACACAAATTCTTTGTTTAGTAAGAAATTCTCATTTTAATTTCGAATTCTTTTTAGTAAACAGCAATGAAATCATCAAAAAATACCAAGTTAGACATTAAACCTAATTTATATTTGTCTATAAAAGATGAACCAAAACAAAAAATTGCATATTTGGATTAGTTTTTAAGTACTACATATTTTGCAAAGTATTAAATTACTATGATTAACTAACATAAAATTTCTTCAGAAATTTGTTATTTTTTTCAAACAAAAAACTTATTGATTTTTAGTAAATCCTTGCTACGTTACTATCTTTTTATTGTAATTAAAAACATGAACTATATAATATACATATTTTGATTAAGAATTAAAATATAAATACTTACTGGTGGGTAATTAAAGTTGTCTTTAACTCTAATTTCTCTGAAAAAAATTTAACAAATGCAAAACAAAACAAGAATTCTTACACAAAATAAAAAAAGCATAAAAAAAGTGTAAAACCTGTCTTCACGCTTTGGCTTGCTCTAAAAATAAAATGTTCCCATTAAAACTGTTTCCATAAAATTAACCAAAAAACAACAGGAAAAAAAAATAAAAAATAAAATTTTTTTAAAATTTTAGAAAGAAAAAAAATATTTCTAAACTTTTAGAAGTAGAACTTTACAGAAAAAGAAGAAAAAAAGAAAAAATAATAAATAAAAAATTTTTGTTGTAATAAAACTTCTTCATTTAGCCCAATTTATTTATATATAAGTTCTAAAACATTTATGCCCTAAATCAAACCTAATTGATTGGTTTAGATTGAAATTGAATTGTTGAGAAGAAGAACAGTACGAGGTCATTTTTTGTTATTTGCACTTTTTTTCATAATTTCATTTAACTTATGTCTATCTCTCTATGCATTACAAAAATAATACTAGGCCAACAAGCATCCAAAGAAAATAGTTTATAAACTATAACTGTTAAAAACTTAAACATTGATTTTCTCGAAATGAAAATCCAATATTTTGCTCGATACTGCTTTTCTTTTCACCAATTCAATTGATACTTGTGCAGAAGTAGGCAATTTCAGTATATGACAATATACTGAAATCATGACAATATATCATCAATAATGACAACTCATGCATCATGCATGGCAACACAAAAATGTAATAAAAATAAAACCATGTTTTTTACGACTTTAAGTTTCATGGAATTTGCAATCTATTTTCAATTTTTCATTTTTTTTTTATAAAATTTTTTAGTTCTGCCATTTAGTTCAACATCTAGAAATCAAATTTATTTTTCACCATGTTTTATTTATTTTATTCATCAGTATTTTTAAGGTTTCATTTTTCATATTTTCATATTTTAAGGTTTCATTTTTCATATTTTCATATTTTTAAGGTTTCATTTTTCAGTTCATCAGTATTTTTAAGGTTATATATGTGTGTGTATATATACTTGTCTGGTCGCAATATGTAAAAAAAAAAAAGGAAAACTAAACATTTTAAGTGGATCATTTTTATAAAGACTTGCTCATTATAACTTAAGAAATATAAAAACTTTGCCACTTGGAAACTGTTTATAACTTTAGTTAGGGACAAAAATAGATGCAACTTATTGAAAAGATTTCAAGTATAAAATATCAGCCATGTTGTTAATAAATCGAATACCGCAAAGCATTGATTCAGTTTTCACAAATTTTTGACGGGGTTTAATAGTTTGTAAAATTAAATGTTTTAAATATAATTACTCAAATCTATGTAATCAAAATTTCATAATAAATTTCATTTAAAAACAAATTTGTTTTTAATTGTCTCTTAATATTGTGTCAAAATAATAAAATAATTGTATTTTAACAAATCTAAAAAATAAAATTTGTAGCCTTTCTTTGTTTACATTAAAAAATGTTTACTTTTCAAAAACTGTTTTCTAAAAAAACTTGTTTTATTTATTTTTATTTATTAAATGGCGAGTAAATAATGGCGAGTAGCAAAAAAACACAGTATCTGAATCTAGTTTCTAAAAAAGAAATTAAAAATGCTTGCATACTTCATCAAGGAGAAGTTGGTCAAAATAATAACAAACTGCGTGGTTTTACTAAAAATGCGCTTGCGAAAGTAAAGAAGGCTTAGTAAGTCACTAACTAAATGTCCAACTTAATTTATTTTTTTATATATGCCTAAAACAATGGTACAGAAAAATAAAAAATAGCATAATTTTACTATAGTCAAATTCGAAATGACTAATATCATAAACATTCTACCTGATACGTGCCCAAAAACTCTTTTGTTTCATCAAAGATGTTACGATAAGTATGTGAATATAAAAACTTTAAGCATTCTATAACATCGGGAAAATAGAGCAGAAAAAGTCGACAAGAGTGTAGGCGTGGATAATGCATCCTCATCTCAGCTCGGAAAAGAGATAGATCAGGTAAATTAAAAAACGGGCGGGAAATGCAAAGCAAAGAATATTACTCTCAGTTTTCATGTTTTTTATTGTTTTACTTCAAAGTTAAAATAGTTACCTTTTTTCAGGAAAACTTATTGCGGATGAAGAATGTTGCATTTGCTATTGCAAAAAGACTAATAAAGATAGGAACGGATATGGAACGCTTACAAAATGCGTAACGGAAAATGCAGCAAATATCTTAAAAGAAAACGTAAATAAAAAAAAAGTAAAGCTGATAACCCACGACTCATCGCTAGTATATTGGGCATAGAATGACAAACCATAATTTCCTAAGAGACATATTGGGGTCCTTTTTAGCAAAGAGATTCTTTGGTAAATATTTGTTCTGAAATAGAAGCACCTGATGAGTTAAAAGACAATTTATTGAATGCACAATCCATCGGGAAGCAGAGTTTCAAAGGTGAAACTTTGAAACAAATACTTATTATTTGAGTCCTATCCCATGAGTGTTAAGATTACCTGATGTTAGCCTTGTCAAAAAATACAAGATGAACCTTCTTCATAAGTTAATTTACTGTTACTATAGGTATTGATAAATCCTCTTATTCAATTAGCAGTTTAATTTAAAATAGTTGTCAAAAGCCGAAATCATTAGTTTGTTAAGAACATATTAGTCATTCTAAAATAATTAATAAATACTACCTAAATACTAGATTTAGGTAACATTTTCAGTGTAAGTTTAGTAATTTTAGTAACTTTTAGGAACAATAGAATCTTCTAGTATCTAGATCATTTGACAGCAGTTGTCAAACGATCACTACAGGCAAATCCCAATATTCCAAATTTGTCAGGGTTAGGGTCAGGGTTAGGGTTAGGGTATAGATAGGGATATAGATGGCATGAAATTGGTGATCAACTTGAATGGATGTTCATTCCACCTGCTCCAGAAGATGTTTTGCAGTTAATTTGCTGTATATGTAAAAAGTAAATATGTGAAAAATAGATTTGTCTTTGTCGATCGCATGGATTGATGGATTTGTGCAACTGTTCGTCTTATAAAAACATCAACAATTGGGACGACACTTTAACAAAATATTCCAATATATTCGACTGATTCCGATGCAAGTTCAAGATTTTCTGAAACTGAATGAATATCTATATATGAATACACACACACGCATGCAAAAAATCAAAATCATATTTATACTTGATGTAAATGAAGTAATCACACAAGAACTTCGACTCTTGCAAAATTTTACCTTTTAAAATTCTGTTCACAAAATTTGAAAAAAAATATTAGCGCGACAACATCAGTACCAAATAAGGGCCCAAATTTGACCCTGCAAGCATTTTTAGAATTTGTTGTAAGTTTTCTCAAGATGCTGTTAACTATTATAAGGTTTTCTCAAGAGGTTATCTAATGTTTGACATAAATATGTATTTTTAGTTTAATTTTTAAAAAAATATCAGCATGACATCATCAGTACCAAATAAGGGCCCAAATTTGACCCTTCAAGCACTTTCAGAAAGGCATGTAGAGTTTTTCTCATTCAAGATATCAACCTTAAATTATATAAGTAGTTATTGTAATGTCTATTTAATTTCCAAGAAAAAATTACACATAGCATCCAGACATAGCATGTAAAGAAAGAAAGTTTAACTTCTTGAAAACATTTCTTAATAGTTACAATAAATTTTTATTTTGTTCATAACATAATTAAAATAATATTAAAAAAAAGTAAAAATAAAAAATAGCAAAAAAATAGTTCAAAAAGTCAAAATCGTCTTTTCCTTATCATTTTCATTATCATAACAAAATAGGTGTGTTGTGTATTGCTGTTTTTTTATTAAGTTAAAAAAACTCTAGAAAACAAGTTTAATTAATCTACTTTGTGTTAAACTATTATGTGTTGTATGCATTAAATGTTGTGGTAAACAATTACGTGTTGTATGTTGTATGTGCTGGAGCCCTGTCTTTCTGGAAAATGTTTTGTTTGCTTTTGCCATAAAATTTTCAAATTAATGAAATCAAACAAGATTTTTTGTTATTTTGTAGATATATTAGTTGATTCAGCAGTTATACACTTCATTTGTACCAAAAAAACATTTCCATATACTGAGCTTCCAAACACATGCAAAATAGGTTATTAAATCTACAATTCAAACACAACATTTTTATCTTTTGATACATTTTTATTTTTGATATGTTTGTTGTTTTAAAATGTTTTTAAAAAAAACCTTGTTTGCTAGCATTTTTTAAAAAAGTTTGCATTTTGATCAGAAACAGATTTATTGAACATTTTTCATTTTTGCACATAATATTCAAAAACATCTACAAGTTACATATTTTAATGCTGTTAAGGTTCTATGATTTGACCACCTTGAAAAACTATTATTTGATTCTCTATAATATTAATTTTTAAATTCTTTTTTTTTTTTACATTTAATTCCAATGGTTGTAGACTTTATGAAACAAGTCAAAACCTGTTTTGCAGATTGCGATTGCAGTATATTTATTCTGATACTATCATTAGGATTACCATTCAAGGTTCTACCGAATAGAATTGCTAAGATTTTTTAATTTGTTACACACTGCTACTTTGTTATTGCTAGCACAGTCATTTTTTTAATAAAGAAAGCATTTAGTACCTGAACAAAATTTAATAATTTAGCTACAGTTTTGGTTTAAAAAAAAAGGTCCTCTAAAAGAGGAAAGTCCCTCATTATATACAATCAGAAATCTTACTATAAATGAACTTGGAGAGGTAACACACTATATATTCAATTATTAAACTATAAACTAATTATTATTAAATAAAAATACTTGAAAATTAAAAACATAGTCTTAAAAATTGTAAATCTTTTATTTTTATCATTGCAAAAAATGAAAGATTTAAATTCTGATTCTATTTATAAATTTATAAAAAATTTATAAATTATAAATATTTAATTAAATAAATTTATAGTATAAAACTAAATTCTTAAGAAAACTACCTTTTTTATTATAACACTACGAGCAGATGTCATTAGTCCTTCCTCCTTTTTCAAGCTGCTTCCTTCTTCCAAATCAGTATGAATTTTAAATAATGACTTTGCCTAAAAAATAATTTAAAAGTATTAAAAGTAGTAGAAGCAGTGCACAAAATAAAAAATTGAGGGTAGAGGGTCAATTTGATTGGCTAAAACATAGAATTAACGATACACTGTTTTAATTGACCGGTTTACTAATTTTTTTTGTAACACTTACTAAATTTTGTAAATAAATAAATAATTATTTATGCTTTAAAAGTATTAATTATAATTTTAAATCAAATCATTGCTTTTTTTACTGAAAACTTGTCACAAAGCAGGATTGAAAAAAAACTTTTTTTAAAAAAAAACCTTAAAAATATGGATTTTTTTAAAAAAAAAAAAAAAACACCCATATTTTTATTTTATAAAAAAAACATGGATGTCTTTTTTTTATAAGTATTAATCCATAGTCTTTTTTTTGTTTAATTTCCTGTTTTTTAAACAAGCCATCTTTTTCAATTAATAAAAAGTATTAGGGGCCATCCATAACTTATGTCATGCTCAATGGGTGGAGGGGTTAGTGGTTTTGTGAAGACTTGCAAGGGACTTGTTACTAAAAAGTTACGATGTTGTGACAAGGGGCAGAGGAACTAACAAATTGGTGAAAATTGCAAAGTGATTTATAGGCTACTTCTTAGGCATATTACTTGAGTAATTTATATTTTCTATCAGTATTACTGGTACAATTCATCAACCAATACATCATTATTTCATGCTTTAATAGAAAAGAAGCCGTTTTTTCTTATGCCATTTTGTTTTTTAATTCAGTTTAAATTATAATTTAATCTATCATTAAAAAATAAATGCCAAATAAAATGTCAAATGTCAAATAAAAACATACTGTAAATTTAATACTCATAAGAAATTGATTTTCAGAGGCATCTTTATGCTTTTAAATAAGTGCATTCACATTAAGTATTTAATTGAAAGAATCTTTTTGTAAACATAGCCCTGCTTTACTTACTGTAAAGTTTGTTGTTTAAAAAGTATTAATTTGATTCAAAGTGACATTTTTTCAAATGGTTTCAAATGGTTTTCATTTGGTTTAATCCTATCAACTTGCCACAAAGATTTACAGTAAATAACTAAATCTTTATTTAACAATTTGAAATCTTTCCAGTTTAAAACAGTTCATGTGAGAAGATTTAAAAAAAATAACCTAGTTTTGATTAAAAAAAGAGGTTTGATAACATCAAATTAGTTTTAGATGTTTAACATTTTTGTACATTTAACTGTTTAAATTTTTATCAAAAATTTAAAACTTAACTTCTTAATTAAATTGATTAACAAAACAAAAGAATGAAAGTTTTAATTTAAAAAGATATTTGTAATTTATTACTGCCCCAATGCTTTATGCTTTAAAAGCATTTATTATAATTTTAAATCAAATCATAGCTTTTTTATTGAAAACTCACAATAGTTGAAAATTTATGAAGATGTTCTTAATATCAAATTTTATTACTACGATCATTATTTTAAATAGAAACCAAGTGTAGCTGTTGAAAATATGAAATATTAGCATGTGATGATAGTGGGAAGTTAAATCATAGATGGTTATTTTTAGCATAAAAAGTTAAAATAATTAAAACTGCGAATTTTATAGTAGAAGACCACTGTTTTATAAAAATGCAACTATAAAAATTTCTAATGCTAATGGTTTTATTATAAACTCAATAAAAAAATGTGCTAATGATAATTGATGATAATTATGATAATTGATGTTAATTAATGATAACTATAGTTTATTCAAATTGCAAAACAAGTTAATAAGGTTTATTCATTGCAATGGTGGTAAAATTTTAATTGGTTTTAGTATTTTCAAAAGACAGCCTGATTCTTTTCAAAAGCTTATTTTCTAAAAGTTTCTTTTTTTAACTTGGTCAACTTAACTGGCAAGAATGTATTTTGGGAGGTCAAAACAGCAATTTTGATCCTTTCTGGCAGTTGTTGACTGTTGATCACCTGTTATTTTGTGTGCTGATAGTAGTAGTGGTGGTAGCAGTAGCAGGCTTGATCAGAAAGGCATGCGACCACACAGCAATATATGACCACACAAAAAGTATTTTATTTTGACAATTTGACCACAGCTTTATAATAGTTTTAAAATCAAGCTTTGTTTATAAGTGCCTTTTTAGATTTTGTTTTAACTAAAAAAAAAAAATTAAAAAATTTAAAAAAAGAAAAAAAATCTTAACAAAAAAGAGAATAAAAAACATAAATAAAACTAAAACACATAAAATTTAAATAATTTTTACTTTTTTAAATAAAATTTATTATAAAAAATGCATGCTTATTTAATCTATTTAATACAAATAAATAAAAAATTACATAAACTTTCATTAATACCTTAAACAAAAAATATTATAAGTATATTTTTACTTTATTTAAAAGCATTAATATAAAAATAATAGTTAAAATAAAAATTACGGTCATAAATTTCAAATGTGTAATTTAAATTCTTTTTTATTCAGTGCATTTTTAAAATGTTGATAGAAAATTGTCAAATTGTCAAAACAATTTAATATTTGTGTGGTCATATAATGGAGTGCAATCGCTCACCTTCCTGACCAAGCCTGTAGGAGTAGTAGTAGTACAGAACTTTTGAAATTATTTACCTCTTCTAAACTTCTTCTAAGAATGTGACTAATGTGCTCCTCTGTGATTGGTTCCTTCAAATTATCACTAATATTAAAAGCGGCCATTTGAAACATCTAAAAACCCACACACAAAATTCTTTAAAGTTGAAACATAATATATTGTATAAAATAAATAATAGTACATAAATTAAAAATAAATACAATATATTTATACAAATACATAAAAAAAAAGTAAGTTGGCAGACTTTTTGAACATATTTTTTTTCAAAACTTTATTTGTATTAGATAAAATTTGTATTTCATAGTTTTATCTATGTAATAAAATCTAAGTAGTAAGAATTAAAAAAACGTGTTTTATTGTTTCTCTCGTGTAGTATTTTTTACAAAACAAAATTTTTTTGTTTCGTGAAAAATACTGTACAAATCGAAACAATAATTTATGTTTTGTAAAAACCGTTACGAAAAGAAATAAGATTAATTATTACTTTTTAGTAAATATTACTAAAAATATTTACTAAATATTACTTTTTAGTTAAACTTTTTTTTACAAAACTTTAAGTTAGTGAGTATTAAACGCAAACTTGTTCTGCTTGAATGTTATAGTTTATGAATTGCTCTCATTGTGGGAATTTGGAAAATATCTGTTTTGAATTATGAGGCTTTCTAAAAAAATTGATACGAAACAAAGCACAATTTGCTTGTTTCGTAAAAATACGGTACGAAAAGAAATAAGGCATAAAACGAAAACTATCATTTTCTACCGTGACAAGCCAAACTTCCGAAAGAATACAAGAAGACGCAGATGTCTAATTATTAAATTCTTTAAAACATTGGTACTCAAACTGACAACATTCAAACTTAAGAACTATGGTTTAATGTTCTACAGTCAAATAAATCAGCCAACTATGTATGTAACTATGGAAAATCTGGAAAAATATAATCCCTGAAATAATCACTTTGACTTGAGACTTTTTTGTCTTCAAGAAAAAGAAAGTGCAACGGTATATATTTTTTAATAAATGTTACTTGGAAGCTTAATTCTTTGTTTGTCACAAAAAAAAAAAAACTCTGGTAAAGTAATTAACTTGAGTTTTTTCTTTGCAACAAGTAATATATTTTGTTAGTTAAAAACTTTCTAAAAGTAAAAAATAATTATTTGCAAAGCGCAAATAGTGAAAAAAAAAATTTACATATTTTAATTCATTTATATTTATATGTCGAAAAATAAAAGAAATTAATTTATGTTAAATGATAATAAAAAAATGTAATAAAAAATTTAATTAATTAAAATTAAGTAGTTTAAAAAAAAGTAAATGTTCTTTAATACTTTTAATAAAATCACAAAGAGCTAAATATTTATAAATATTTAGCTCTTCATGATGTTATCAAAATCACAAAGAGCTATTGCGTTAAGCCATATTTTATTTAAAATAAGGCCTACAAGACAATCCTTTGGATGAATAAACTTAAAAGCTTCTTGCTTTTTTTAATTATTGTCAACTCAATCAAGTTTTTTATTTTTAAGTAATTTATCTTTGGAATTGTAAAAAACATTTGTCAATAAATGTTTTTTACCATTAAAAAAATAAATTACTTGGCCATCCTTAAGAAATGATTGCTCCAAGCCAATATTATCAAACTATTCATTTTCAGATGATGCAGTTTTTCAAAAACAGCAATTCATGCGTTAAGTTTTTTATAAGATAACAGATAATTTCATCAGATAAATTATTAGTCAAAGAAAGATCTAGACTTTTAAGGTGGTGCACAACAAAATATTCAAAATTGCTCAAACTTAAAAAAAAAAAAAAATTTGTATCAATAAAAACTACATAAATTTAAAATTGTATTATATAATTTAATTTACTTTGCCTTGATTTTATCAAAAAACTTTCATTTTAATAAGTCAATTTAAAACAGGATAACTTGAAATATATTAATACAAAATCCATGAAATTCTTTACATGTGTTCTTGACATGTTAGGTAAGATATTGACATATGGATATGAAGTTTTTTTAGGTAAATCAAAAATTATTAATTATTTTTTACATCAAGCAATAAAAAAACTTCAAGCTTAAAAATTAGAAAAAAAAGATTAGATTAGAATTTAAAAACTTTGAAATGTCATAAGAATATAGTATAATAAATATTTCCTGAAAGTGATTTGCACTTCTGCTCCAAAGGATATCATCTTTACAATCAGGCAATATTTCCTAAAATTCAAAAACAGAGAAAAACGCAAAAGAAGATTGAATATTGCTGTCATTCCCTAATATTTTTTTTTATTTAATTAAAAATTAAAAAATAAGTTGGAAATAAACATTTTATATTATTATTCTACAATAATTTGCCTACCAAATGAGGTAAATATCAAAAATTCACTTTTTTTTCAATTTTTAGAAAATATTTGGTGGTGCACCATCGTAACACTTTACAGCTTCTGCATTTTCTATGACAACTGGTTTTGCAATAACTTCATTCAACTTTAATATTATTTAATTTACAGTAGTAGTTACCTTGTTAAAAAATCAAGAGTAACAAGTAACAGAGTTATAGTCCTCTCCATGCAGAACTATCATATAAAATATAATAAGCAGCATTCAAACTTTTTTCAGGTTCCATTCTGTGACAGCATCTTTTCAGTGACAGATGTGACATTCTGTGACAGCCTCCCCAGTTTGTAAACTGCCATGGGTAATAGGCAAACTGCAAGTTACAATGTCAATGAGAGAATGTAAAATTTTTATTCTGGTACTAAATTCTTCAAAAAATTTTAGATTGATATTTGGTTAGATTGATATTTGTTCTGTCCATTGATATTTGATATAGACTTGTTATTTCCAAATTTTTAACAATATCCCTGATATGAGTCAATAAGTCTTAATGCGTTGTATGACCTAAGAAATTTGATTGAAACAGCTCTCGAAATTAGGAAAAATAATGCCGACCTTAATGGTGTGAGGTCGGCATCAGATCAGCAGAAAAAATGTAAAACAAAAGCTTGACCATAAAACATAAAAATAAGGTCGGAAATTTTTTGATGACCTCAAACACTTTAGGTCAACAAACAGTTAGGTCGGCATTGCCGAATCCTGATCCTTAATACAAAGGTTGACAAAAATAATGAAACTTTTACATGGTTTCTATTTACATACTAGAATCTGATACAAATATTCATTTCAGAAGTTTGGGTGACCTTAAAAGCATAGAGGCAGATGTTTGACAGTTTCAAAGTTTCTAAATTTTCCAATTTAAAATGAGGAGTTAAACCAAGATTGTAGGTCTCTAAGACCCATCTGAAATTATCTGGAAGCATGCTTCCAGATAATTTAGCCTGGAATTAATGCTAAATTATCTGGAAGTATGCTTCCAGATAATTTAGCCTTATTAATATCTAGTTTTTTAACATATTAGCCTAGCACCTTTTGTTTTTCTGTAAGTGACTCTTTTGGTGTTGCAAAGAATCAAAAAGAATTTCCTTCAACGCTATATTGTGTTTTAGTCATTTTGTATTGGTTTGTCAAGGCAAACACCCAATTGAAAAAAATTCTATTGACCTGTGGCAAACTACACATCTTGTTTTAGTGTCATCTTTAAGATTTTTCTTTAGCCTATCTTGGGAGTTATCATCACACAACCTGCCTTCTTGAAACAACCTTTGATTCTTTACATTTTTACTTATATCTCATTCCATATTTATAATAAAATAATACTAATCTTACTATAAATTATATAAAACTTTAAAAGGAATAAATATTGATAAAAAGATTTAAAATAAACTTAAAAGATCATTCATTAAACACATTACTAAACAGTAAATACTTAAAGATAAAAAAATATATATATATTTTTCAGATTTTTCAGCATGTTTTTCAAAAACAGACTTTTTTTTCCAGTTTTTCCAGCAGAATGGATACCCTGAATTTACCAGATTCATAACAATTATTATTGTTTTTACGAGTAAATATTTATTAAATTTTACTTTATAATTTCAACTCTAATAACATTTAATAAATTTTTAAAAATCCAAAGTGAACCTCTTGATAGCTATGTAAAACTTTTTCAATCTCCATATTTAAACTTGGCTGAAGAGCAGAACGAACCAATTCCAGAGAATTTGTTGGACTTGAACTCTGACTTCTATAATTTATAATAGTTAAATCAATTTTAATTAAAAAATAAACACACATTTGAAAAAAATTATATTAACTTCCATTTTACAGAATAATAACAATAATAAGTAATAAAATTCAAATAATTTTTTGAATTTAATCTTTCATGTTTTTAATGTAGAAACAAATACTAACAACTCCTAAGTTAATGTATTCCATGTCAATCAATTTTATATGACATCAACAGTGATATATATATATATATATATATATATATATATATATATATATATATATATATATATATATATATATATATATATATATATATATATATATATATATATATATATATATATATATATATATATATATATATACTTATTTACAAAAAACTTAGAAATTATGATTTTTTTTATTTTCAGCTTAAAAACAACAGTTTTTATGCAATGATGTATAAAAATATTATTTTTATATAAAAATTATTAATATTTTTGAATTTTTAATATAATTTCGCTTCTTTGAGTACCAGGTTGACATATTTAAGAAGAACTTTTTTTTTCAAAATATTAGGGACCCGTCAAATGTTAAGGGTCAGGGGCTACCCCTAAAAATATTTTTTATTCAAAAAAATTGTAAACCTAGTGTTTTTGTATTATATAGAACACAATTAGGGTTGTGGAGCAGATTTTTTTTTTAAATGTTGCTTTTTAGACCACCCTAATATATATATATATATATATATATTTATATATATATATATATATATATATATATATATATATATATATATATATATATATATATATATATATATATATATATATATATATATATATATATATATATATATATATATATATATATATTAGGCGCTTTTTGAAAACTGATAACAATTTGTTAAAAAATATGTCATTTACATTAAAGTTGTTTTTTAAAAACTTTTTTTATTTTTTGTTAAACTTATAGATTATATTTATATTATATTATATTTACAGGATTGCATTTAATTATTAAAATCTTTATTTTATATTATACATACTTTAAATTATACATACTGGTTATACTTATAAAAATCTTTTGTTATACATACTGGTTATATTTATATTATATTATATTTACAAAATTTTATATAATTATTAATTAAAGGTTAAAATTGTTTAACTACTTAAAAACCTCAAACATGTCAACATGACAAGAAACATCAATTTTAGAATAAAATTGTTTTTTATTATAAAAAAACCTTTCTTCTCACATGGCCAACTTCATAAGGCATATTTACAAACAAGATGAACATTCATTACAAGTCATTTAATATTCATTAAAAGCTAAGTAACTTTAACGCACACAAAGGATGTGCTAAAAATGTACCCTCATTGTTAAAATGTGTCAAACAAACAATATAAATTTAAAATTCCATTTGTTAAAATTTAATTTTTAATTTATTTAAAATTTAATTCATGTTTTTTCTTAATTTTTTTTGTGGTGTTTATTGTTCAAAGTTTTTTGTTAAAAACAAATTTAAAACTTTTCACAAGTTGCGCTAATAAAATTTAAATATAATTAGTCAAAAATATATTCAAGTTGCTACTACAACTCTGGAATAAAATTCCCTGATTTTCACTGATTTTTTTTAATGAAATTTTGCTTTTTTTTCCTGTTATATTTCTAACATTCAAACTTGAAAACTTAACAATAAAACTTCAACATAAACCCCCAGACATGCTATTTTTACCCCCAAAGAAAAAAGATTGCCCAATTTTTATATACAAGAAACTTTTTTATGTCTATTTAATTTGTTGGATAACAAAAAGAAATAATCAAAAATCAAATAACTACATACTATTTTAAATAACAGTTAACATGAAAAAAAATATTTAAAAAATTATCAAACATAAAGAGTCTCAAAATTAATCTGAATAAAAGCTTAAAGGAATTACAAAAATTTAAAGTATTTTTAAAGAAATTACAAAAATTTAAAGTATTTTTAAAGGAATTACAAAAATTTAAAGTATTTTTAATAACTATATAAAAAAAATATCAGACTCAGATTTAAAGTTCTATGCAAGAAAATGGATGAAAGAAAGGGATGTAGTTTAGTAGGCACAACAAAAAAAAGAATTAGGTCAAGAACAATATTTTTTAACGTGCAAAAAATAAAATAAACAAGATCATTCTTTCAAAAAGTTTTAAAAGAACTTTATTTTTAATTAACGTCAGCTATTCTCTAGATTTTTTTTTTAATGTTTATTGTTTTATTGTTGTTGTTTTTTTGTTGTTTTTTAAACATCTTCGCTTCCAACAAGGCTGCAAGCAGCCACTAATTATTATTGGAAGTTACTGGAAGAGAAAAGATAAAGATTGTAGAGCAAGATAACGATTAACAGACGACTTAAAAGATTGCAAATTATATGAATCAGGAAAGCAAGATGAAGGAAGCAAATTCCAAAGAACTGATGTTCTAGGAAAAAAATTAGACGAGTTAGAATTTTTAGAGCACTTAGGAACAGTAACAGAAAAAGGATGAGACTTAATTGAATGACAAGTAACAAGAGAATGAATTTTAGTAGATGGCACAATAGACACTAGCTCTTTAGAGCAGTGCCCATTATAGTATTTGTAGAAAAGAGAAAGAGAAGCAACATAACAACGATGTGACAGAGGTTAAAAGTTGGCTGCAAGAACAGGTCCAACTATGTTTACAATGCGTTCTTGCACCTTGTCTAAAAGAGAAAGGGCATCATTAGAAGATCCGCCCCAGGTATGGCAACAGTATTCCATACAAGGCCAGATTTGAGATATATAGAGATAGAGAATATAATCCAGAGTAAGAAAGTGTCGAGCTCGATAAAGAGATGTAACTTTAGCAGATGCTAATTTTGCAACAGATTTGATATAAGGTTTCCAAGAAAGATCAGAAGTAAGAGTTAATCTTAGAAGATAAAGGGAAGGAGACTCATCGAGTACATTACTGTCCATAAAATAGGAAGGTCTAAATTATTGCGATAACGATTGGCTGAAAAAATTTGAGTTTTATCTGTATTAAAGTTCACCAGCCACTGTGAGCCCCATGCTGTAGCAGAAGTGAGATGCTTTTCAAGCTCAGATGCCCCCTGCAAGCAATCAGAAGGAGTTGGCTTCTTATTGTGACAAGAATAGATGGTAGTATCATCAGCAAACAATGCCACCTTAGATGTAAGAATATCTGGAAAATCGTTAATGTAAATTAAAAAGAGAATAGGGCCAAGGATTAAACCTTAAGGAATCCCTGAGGTTACAGAATAAGAAAAAGAGTGCTGTCCATCGAGGACAACTTTTATACTACGATTGGAAAGAAAGGATTCAATAATCTTAAAGATGTTTCCAGATACATCGTAAGAAGAAAGCTTATGGAGAAGACCAGCATGCCAAACTTTATCAAACATTTTAGAAATGTCAAGAGTGATGGCCTTAACCTCTCCACCTTTATCTAATGCGCGATAAAATCTACTGGTTATTACTGATAGAAAATCAGCTGTAGAACGAGAAGATCAAAATCCATATTGATGATCAGAAAGTAGGTTATGAGATTCGAGATAAGAGACTAAGTGTTAGTTAACTAAAGATTCAAAAACCTTGTTTATGATAGGAAGAAGACTAATGGGACGGTATTTAGACGAATCAGATCGCTCTCCAGAATTTTCAAAAATAGGGATAACAGATGCTGCTTTCCAGCAGGCTGGAAAACAAGACTGATAAGCACTTGTTAAAGAGTTTTAAAAGGAAAGACGACAGCTCCGGAGAACACTTCTGCAAGACTATAACGGGTATATTGTCCGAGCCGCAAGCTGTGGAAGAGTCTAAGCAGGAAATCACTTTAGATACAGGAGCTGGAGTAATACAGATGTCGAGCAATGGATAAACCTGTTTGACGGCTATATCAAGTAGAACGCAACTAGTGGAGTCAAGAGATGATATTGATGAAAAGTTCTTAGTAAACAATTCAAATTTGTCTTGAGTTGAGGTGACAAAGTCTAAAATAAAGTCACAAGAGCCTAACTTTTGTGATGAAATATAAGATTTCATGATCTGAGAATAGCGGGCTTTGGCGTTAGACAAATCCTTTTTACAATGGTTCCTAGCAGTAATAAACAGACGTCTGTTTTGTGGAGAATTGTTTTGCTGATAGATATGAAAGTAATGGTTTCAATTGGCAATAGCAGCAGCACAATGTGAGGAAAACCACGGAGAAGAGTGAGGCTTGAACTAGAATCGTTGAGATTGAATAAAGGATTCCATTCCAGCCTGAATCCACAAAGTTATGTAAGAAGCACATTTGTCAATAGGAAGACGAAAGATTTCTACCCAGGGGTCATCATGAAGAAAATCGCAGAAAGAGTCCCAGTCAGCTTTAAGGTAGTTGCAAGATGTTCGATGATAGGGAAATTCTGATGATAAAGAAGAATGAGATAATTGTTTTAGAGAGACTAAACCATGATCGGAGTTACTTTAGGGTGAGTGTGGAGAAACTGAGCACTGACTAGGATCAGAAACAAGACAGAAGTTGAGTAGAGAAGGTAAATGATTCGGGTTGTCTGGAAATCGAGTTGGAAAGTTGACTATTTGAGTTAGGGATTGAGAAAGGCAAAAGTTGTGGGCCTTAATGCCTGCATAGTCACTGACACTATAGCCAAGCCATTCAGTGTGATGAACATTAAAGTCACCAACAACAACAATATTGGCTGATGGATAAAGAGAGGGGGCTTGGTCAATATGATCAGAAATAACATCAAGAAGAGTGCAGTCTTGAGATGAAGGAGAGTGATATAGAACAAAGAGAAAGGTGATAGAGTGAAGTGGTGCTAAACGAAAGCACATAAAAGAGTAGTCTGTGGATTCAAACCTAGTTTGCTGACAAATGGGAGAATTCTTACGAATGTAAATGCCCAGGCCAAGCATGTGACTATTGGAGTCTTTATGAATTAAAGAAAGATAACCATCAACACTAAGATCACAAGATGAGACAGAAGAACTCAAATTAGTCTCACAAAGAGCAAGTAAGTCTGGTGAACTTTGCAGGAGATAAGACTCAACAGAAGAAAAGTTACTTCGAAAACCACGAATATTGGTGAATGATAGGTTAAGCAAATGTGGCCTTGGCAATGCACACCAAAAGTACAAACAGGGACACCACCCATGCGCAACATGGCACTCTTAGTACTCTGATATTTTTCAACTGTTGATGGAATCAGCCTCTCTGAGAGCTACCACAGAGTTCGGGAAACCTGACTACCAGCCGGCCTCAGAACCATAAAACTGAGTTTTAAAGCTGTACCCTCATTTGGAGATAATAGAATGAGTTGCCTAGTCATAAAAACAGAGACACAAGCAAAACCCATGCTTCGAGTCAAAAAGGTCCAGCGTTCAACATCCTAAACTGGAAACAATGTATTAAAAATACATCTGCGCCAGTCTAATAGATGAAGAAGGGGTGCGAGGCTGGTCAACAGAGAGAATCTGTTTACCCCTTAAGTCTTTGCTTAGGAGGCCTTCTTCAAGACAGTAGCCGGATGCATTTAACATCTGCCCAAGATGAGTATTTCTATCGAGACACCATCTCTTGCCTTTACTTAACCAAGAGCCCCAAGGCAGGGGGTGTTTTATGTTGGAGTTTGCATCTCTTAGCCTTTGCCTAAAGAGACATATCCTACAAGGCAGCAGGACATAAAGCAGATTGTACTGGGTTACATGTTGTTTGTTTTATTGATTTATTGTTTATACCTGTTTTATTGTTTTGTTTTTTTAATTTATTTTAATTAATTTAAAAATTCTTTATTTACATTTTTATTGCTGTTTATCTAAAGTTACGAATATTTTTGTGTAATAATAAATAATATACTTTAAAATAAGTTATTAATATCTTTTAGGTGAACGAATCTCATTCTGCCCCTTAAATGCAGTTGTAGCTTATTTGAAATGATTATAAAATATTTTATATATATATATATATATATATATATATATATATATATATATATATATATATATATATATATATATATATATATATATATCTATTATAGCATATTTATATGCGCAATTGCTCACTTTTTTTGCTAGCCTAAATTAAGTGAGCATTTTTAGAAAACGATGAGGGAAAACGAAGAATAATGAATGAAAAGGTTGCTGACCTATACCAAACCCTCAGTCGATGTAGCAGCACTCCACAGCGAGTCAGGCTATTTGTCAGTCGATGTATGTACTGAAGACAGGGTTGGTAAAAAAACCCAACCCAAAAAAACCCAAAAAAACCCACCTTAAAAAAACCCAATAAAACCCAAAAAAACCCAAAATATATTTGGGTTTTTTTAAAAATGACCTATTTTACAACTGATATCTCTGATTTCAACACTTATAAATGCTTTATTATCAGCAAGTGCAACCTTTATACTGTAATTACTCTTGTAAACACTGTGTTTATATACATAACGGTCTTTAGAATATACCCAAAATCGATCAATCTGTTTTTGTAGCAAGTTGGTTATTTATTATTTTTTTTAAAACATTTAGCAAGTTATTATAAATGTTATTGAAATATGTATTAAAACATTAAATTAGTTAAATACTTATAAAAGAAATAAAAATCATTCTATTAACTAAATTTCAAGACATTACTAGCTATTTAGTATCTTTATTCTCCTCCCGAATGTCTATATTCCTTTATATTGGTATTTGATCTTTTATTTTTTAAAGCTTATGTTGTTAACTGCCAAAAAAAAAATACAAAGCCACAAGCAAAATACTATATATAAAAATTATTAAACTTTATTTACAGTTTAGAAATGGAAAGTTATCAGGCAAAAAAAAAATGCTACAGTTTACTAGATTTGTCCTTAAGTGCATACAACTTTAAAACTTAGGTTAGGTGCAAGCAAGCTTGCAACATGTTTGCTCATTCAATGAGAGAACATGTTGAAAACTTGTATGCATTTCACAAGGACAAGATTTTTTGGTAAAAATGACACTCGTGCTCATCTGTCTTTTGACAGGTTTTGAATATTTTGCATCAGCTACAAGTTTACAACATGTACTATGAACAGCAGGTTGAAAGCGGGTGACTATGAACAGCGGGTTGAAAATTAACATCAGTATCAAGTTGCTAAAAGGTGAAGAAACACACACACAATAGAGCTATATGTGTTACTTTGATTCAGTTTGCAATTTGCATTGCAAAACTGAGCCGGTAAAACATCTTCAAGGAAAAAAAAAACTTGGTGGCGAAGACACTGTAATGGTTCTTAACAAATTTACTTTATATATATTTAGAAACAAAGTTTAGGCAAAAATCCATTTTTTGCCAGTCCAGTTGATCAGGCCGATAACTTTTCCAGGAAGCTGGACAGTATAATGTTCTGATAAAAAAAAAATGTAGTGATTAGACTAGCAGTTTTCTTCTATGATACAAAAAAGTTTAAAAAGTGTTCATAGTCATCTTGATTGATAATAACTTATAAGGTTGCAACATCATGTTGCAAACTTGTTGATTACATGTTGTAAACTTGTGCAAAGTAGTTTTTGAAATGATATGTTGAACATGTTAGTAAAAAAACTAGTTTGCAACATTTATATTGTCTTACCAACTTTGAATAACTCAATTGTCATGATTTTTACACTGATTTTCTTTTAGTCAAAAACATTCTGAACATGTTTTTAATTTAGAGCAATTAATTAACATCATTTATAGTTGATGGAGTCCCTTTTTGCACTATAGGTAAAATGTGCTAGTAGACTAGTAGCAAAACATTTGGCTCGCAACCAGAAGGTTGGGGCTTAAATTACCTCTGCTGAAATTACTGTCTCAATCTATTTCTCCACACAGCGCCTTTGTTTAAAAATTTTAGTTGTTAATGTTGTTTGTTAGTAAAAATGGTAATGTTAAGGATTGAGACAAAATATTTTTAAAAAATGAGTTGCTCCTGTGACTGAAATGGTCATTGGAGCAATAGGGAGGTGAATTTATGAAATTAAAAAAAAAATTATTGTACTCATACAATTATAAAAATTTGGTATTTTGATCGATTTTTAAAAAAACCCAAAAAACCCATAAAACCCAATAAAACCCAAAAAAACCCATTTGGGTTGGGTTTTTTTAAAAAACCCTGGGTTTTTAAAAAAAACCCGGCAGCAGGCTATTTGACATTAGGTGAGTATGACATCATCATGCTCACCTAACTAAGCATTATAAGATATATATGTATATATATGTATATATATATATATATATATATATATATATATATATATATATATATATATATATATATATATATATATATATATATATATATATATATATATATATATATATATATATATCGAAATAGGTGTGCCAAGCAAGTTTCTCTTCTAAAGCCTGCAATCATTGAAATAAGTTTTTTAATTATAGATGATGAAGTTTTAAAGCCATAAATATCATGATTAATGCAACTTTAGATCACTATAAATTTATTTGAAATTAACACAAAAATTTATTTAATGATAAAAATTATAATATAAAAAATTATAATATAAAAATAGAGAAACAAAAATACGAATATCTCGGTAAAAAATATTTTTTCAAGTTTTTTAAACTTTTTGTTTTAAAATACTCAAGTATTTAAAAACTTAAGTATTCAAAAACCCTCCATACAATATATCAGTGCCTGACATTGCTACCAAATTTTTGAAAGCACTATCACTACTTTCCACATTTTCGGTGACCAATATCCGCTACTGAGTTAATTTTCTACTTATTAGCTTCTTTTTTTAAAAAAAAGTATTAAATTAACTCAGTAGCTCTAGTTCATTACTGAGTTAATTTTTTACTTTTTTTAAAAAAGCAAAAAAAAACAGTTCTCCTCTCCCACGGGAAGTTTTTGATATATCCATATAGAATGATATAAAGTTACAGTTTTTTATTGTTTCACACTCTTATTAGTGATTTACACTAAATTAAACTTTACTTAGTGTTGCTTATTTTTTACAAGTAAATTGTAACTTTTATATCTTACATCAATGTTACTAACACCCTCCTAATGAGTTTCTAGATTCTGCAACAAAATTTAATTTTTTGGTGCTGATTATGTGCAAAATATTTTGTACATAATCTAACATTCTAACATTAACTTAAGTCTAACATTCCATCTCTAATACATGGGACTTATCTTATTACTTTTCCCAATGACAAGGCAGAACTTTTTTGCAAAGAAACTTTTTTTTAATTTGACTCTTGAATGTAATGACCATACTTTTCCTGCCATTTCAATTAAGCAGGTTAACCCACTGTTAGACGTTCAAATCACTCCAGATTCTGTTGCTACAGTCATATCTCAATTAAAATCTTCTATGGCTTGTGGTATACACAACATTTTCCAAAACTCTTTTCAATATTTTCTAAACTATATAATGAGTGCTTGACTGTATCTTGCTTTCGCACCTGCTGAAAAAGGGCATGCGGCTCAATTTTTTTTTAAACTTTTGACCATTCCAATTATTATCTGATCAGTCTTCTCTCTATTATTAGGTCTTTGAGTTCATGATCAAAAATCTTCTAAAATTATTTTCAAGTCAAATAACTTACTGTCAGACAATCAATACGATTTATAATCTTCACATTCTACAGCTGTTCTATGTCAATTAGTTTCCTTGCTCTTTACTCTATTCTTTGTTTTTTAGAATTTCCAACGTAATAGTAGCTTGTTTAAAGTAAAATAGTATAAAAAATACAATAAAAAATATTAATTATAATTTCTACATTTTATTATAGTTCTTACTATTAACTTTAAATAAATTACTTGGTTCGATTTATAAAACCAAATGCATTTTTCAACAGGTGTCGTTGCTTGGGAAAATTTCTAGCTGTCATATTAAATGGATTAGGAGCCTAAAAAATAAAGAATGAATCTTAACAATCTACTCATATTACAAATTCAAAAGTAATAAAAAATTCAAAAGAAATAAAACTTTGTTAAACATTTAATTTTCATGACATTGAATGACAGGTCATTAAACAAATCATGACATCATGACAGGTCATTGAACAAAAAAGAAAAACTGAGTAAATGTCGAATTAACATGAAAAGTGTATAAAATTGTTCAACTTCAAAAAATAATGATGCATTATTAAATTTTATCTTTATTAAATTCATTAAAAGTGGTATAAATTCAAATAAAATGAAATTGCAGCAAGCCAAAGATGTAAAGAATATAAACAAAATAAAGCTTACAAACATGAAAACAGAAAGTAGTAAATAGTATTAATACAGCAATCCATAACTGTTAAGAATTTAAATGGTACATGTAGCATATAGCATTGTATACACTTTTATATACAATGTATATACGCATGCATCATATATATGGCCAATTGCTAACAGCCTGTATAAAAGGTGTTTCATATACTAACCAAAATTTTCAAAGAAGATGTCATATAACTAATACCATACAAAAAGGATCAGAAACATGATCAGATCAATGATCAAATTTTTCTTAGTGAAAAATGTTATATTTATTGTTGTATTACATTTGTATTAACTATTATATTTGTATATTATATTTTTATATCATTTAGTTGTATACATATATATATGTATATATATATATATATATATATATATATATATATATATATATATATATATATATATATATATATATATATATATATATACACATACATATACAAGGGTTGAACTAAGCTATAGTGAATAGCAATATCAGGAAAAATACCTGGTCTTTTACTAACTCATTTTTAGTTTAGCTAAAAATGAGTTTGTGTAACTTGTTGAGTTTTTGTACTTAGTGTTTTAAATGTACTTTGTTTTCATGATGTGAATTAGCTGAAATTTGTTAGCAAAATAGTAATAAAAAACAAAACTAAAAACTACAATAAGTAATAACACTAGAGTCACTAACTTTGTTATAAAAATAATAATATTATATAATATAATATTATATATAATATTATGCTATTAATAATAGCGTTATTACTTTTATAATGCACTTATAACTTTTATAATTTATTGTTTGTTTAAACAAAAATTAATCATGGTATTATAAAAAAAAATGATTTAAATAAATAATCCCAAATTTTAATTGAAGTAGAAAGGCATTGATAAAAAATAAAATAGATATTTAAATAATCATAAAAACTTCATGAATTTTTTATATACGTACTTTTCTAAACTGTTACTAATGGTTCAGAAAAACGTGTGTTAACATTAAAATCAACTAATTACCATGCCAGTCAATAAGTTTCTAGAATAGAAATGAAAAACACAATTTTATGGCTTGAAACGCATATTATTACTCAGTATATTCTCCCAGAAGCTCAATACATTTATTCCAACATTCCTCTAATTTATGAATACCATCCCTATAGTGATTCTCCGATGGCCTGCAAAATAACCCTCTACAGCTGCTATCACCTCTTTGCTTGATGAAAAATGCTGTCTACGCATGAATTTTTTAAAATATGAGAACAGCAAGAAGTCAGAGGGAGCCAAACCTGGTGAATAGGGTAGATGTTGCAGCAATTTGTACTTCAATTCAGTAATTTTGGCAATGGTTTTTTGAGCTGTGTTTTTGGGTGCATTATCCTGATTAAAAATGATTTTTTTTCTGCAAACCGGGTCTTTTTTCACAAATTTTTTTACCCAATTGGTTCAAAAGACTACAATAATAATCAGAATTGATTGTTTCACCAGTTTGGAAGTAATCCACCAACAAAATTCCTTTTGCATCCCAAAAAACTGATGCTAACACCTTCTCGGCCAAATTCTGGACACGAACTCGCTTTGGAGCCGAAGATTCAGGCCCAAACCACTCTTTACCCTCTTGTTTGGATTTAGGATCATGATAATAGACCCAAGTCTCATCCATAGTGATGAATTCAACGCACAAAATTTTTTTTATCCTTTCGAAATTGCTACAAATGTTGTTGAGAAAGTCGCATTCGAAGGTGTTTTTGTTGCATTGTTAGCAAATGCGACACCCATGGTGCACACAGCTTTTTTAAACACAAAATCTCACTTAAAATATTATGAGCTGTACCATTTGAGGTGTCAACTATCTCATCCGCAGTCAATCGCCTTTCTTCCAAAAACAAATCCTGTATTTTTGCTATGATTTCTGGTGTTGATGCACTTTTTGGACATCCTTCCCATGGATCGTTTACAAAACTTGTATGGTCACATCAAAACTCAGTAACCCAATTATACTCTGTTGCAAGTCAAGGTGAAGAATCCTTATACACTTTTAACAATCATTCATGAATCTGTTTTGATTCTACACCTTCTAAAAATAGGAATTTAATCACTGCTCAATCCTTGATTTTTTTCATATTAAAAAAATACTGTGACACTTCTACTTTAAACAGCTGTAAATATAAGACTAATCCACTAAAAATCCACATGAAACTTTGCACGTGTTCATACAAAAGAAGTACTAATGTTAGAAAAATAAAATGGCAGACCTTTTATGGCCATTTATGTGTTATTCTAGAAACTTTTTGAGTGACCTGTTAAAAATTTTCTTTAGCTGATTTTAAAATCAAACTACCTTTTCCAGACCATTTGTAACAGTTTAGAAATGCTTAACTGTTTATGAAGTATGTATTTGTAAGAGTTCTAAAAGTTTTTAATATTATATAAATGTTTTAAATTTATTTTTAAAATCTCTTTTAAAATCTCTTTTTTCTACATTCTATTTTATCGGGGTCGACACAGAAAAATCCGGTCATTGAGACTTCTCTAAAGCCATAAATTCTTTTTTGGTTTTTATTATATTGAATTATTTTTATATTAAATCTGTTTACATCAATTAAGGATTCTACTTAATTTTAAGGGACTTGGTAGGCTCTTAGGCAAGAGTCAGAATTTTATAGCGGGTAGATGCTGTCATTTAGCAGACTTTTTCTTTTTTTTACCTTTTTGATGGCATTAACCCATTTTTTTTGGAAGTCCTTTTTATTTATTGTTACTCCATCTATTTTAGGAAAAACTCCTTAAACTTTTGCCTAAAAATCTTCAGTCTTGCGCTCTTCAGGACAATTCGGAGGATTCGCATCTTTAGAAACAATTTTCACATTAATTTCTTTGCAACAGTGAAGAAATTTTTTAGAATAGTGAGAAGCAGCAAGATCTGGTCAAAAGAGACATCAGTGTTTGTGTTTTTTTACAAATGTCAAAATCTGCCTTGCAATATGTTTCGTTGCTTTTAACTATGCACATACTGTTAATCGCCATTATTTTAACCAACTTCTTTGCACGTCGAATTCTTTTAATTTCACTATTTAATCTTCTCTTATGTGTATTTTTCTTATAAAATGCTTTTTTCTAGCATTTTGAAGTTATTTTTTTATATAAGAACATGAACTCTTGAATATTCTTTTATTTTTTTTAAATTTTCTGTTTTTTTTGGTACTATATATTTAACTTATGTTATCGAGCGATTATTATCAAGGATTTTCGATATCTATTATTAAAAATTAGAGTTACATATAAAAATAATTTCAAAAGTATTAAACTCATTCATTAAAAATAATTAATAAAGAAAATTTTAAAAAACTGGTGGCACTCTTTCTGAGTAATTTTCATAACATTTATAAAAGTTATCAAATCAAAAACAGTTTTTGCGCAAGACCAAAAGCAACTTTAAAAAATCATTTTAGTATTACAACATTATTAATAACTATTTGCGACATTTAAATAAGAAAAACCTTTGGTTTGTCTAAGTTTTTACTTACACTTCTTACATTTATGCGTATTGCCTTACTTTCATTAGGTTGTATTTTTAAAATGTTGCAAAGTATTTACATTTATATCTCTTAAAACTAATTTAACATAAAAACTGATCACAGTTTAAGAGGGAGAGGGGGTTCAGGTATATGTAATCGTTTGTGAGAGGAGGGAATTGACAAATATAGGTGGATGTGCTTTATGGATGACCCCTTAATTACATTTACAAACAATTTGTTTTAATAAAACAAAAAACAAAAATGATTTTTTTTATATTAGGAGAATAGCAAATAAATCTTTTTATTTTTTTAATGTCTAATTAAAAATATTTAAATAACTCTTAGTTTTATTTATCTATGTATATTTATATGTCAACCAAAATAAAAATACACAAATAAATAAATAAAAAAAACAATAATATAAATAATTTTAATTAACATTAAAAAAAAAATTTAAGATTAAAAATTACAGTTAGAACCTTATCAAACCAATGCAAGAAAATAAGAATTACTTAATGACATAATTCAATTTGTTAACAAAAAAAGCGCCAGAACTGTAATAAATGCATGTAGTTTTAACTTTCATTACACAAATTTAAATTTAAAATGTGCTTCAATTAAGCATCGTATTCGAAACTTTAAATGTAAAAATGTAACATTTAATATTTTTTTACAAATAGTATTTTAAAACTTAAGTTTTTTAACTAAATAGAAAAAACAAATCTTTATCACGTTTTTGTTAACTTACATAACATGAAAATTGCTAAAGTTTTTTTGTTATTTTTTAGAAATGTATAAAATCTGATTAAAAACAATTTAGCTAAATAGTAATAGTAGTAATATATTACAGTATTATTAGCTAAATTTTTATGCTAAATAAATTCATGGTTAAAATAACATTTTACAATGATAGTTTTTTTATCATGCAAAAATGAGGAAAATGTAACTTTCGGAAGCATAAAAATGACTTAAATTTATTTTAGTATTAAAAGTATACTTTAAATAAACTTCCATGTGCCTACATAAACATTCATTTGCCTAAAGTTGACAAAAAAAGAGAATAAAATTTGACTTTTTTTCATTTTCTGCGGTGGAATTGCCCATATATATACATATATATATATTATATATATATATATATATATATATATATATATATATATATATATATATCAGGCCTTGTTAAGAATCGTTACGCAGCTAGCATTTTACCTGCGAAAAGGCGATTTGCCTACACGTTTAGCAGTTTTGCGTTACGCAAAAACTTTAATCTTTTAGAATATTTAAATTATCATTTGATATCGTTTATGTGACGTTTATTCAGAAGAAAATAAAGTCGTAAGTAAAAGCATTTAACCGCAATTGTAAACTAATAGATTTTTTGTTAAAGAAAAATTTGTTTAATTATTTTTATTGTTGTTGTTAAAAATTAGTTAAAAAAAAAAGTGTTTTAAGTTTAAACTTTATATCATATTTAATATTAAGTTTTATATTTCATAAGTTTAAAAACAATCAAATTTAAAAAAAGATATATTTTCAATTTATTTTATCAAATTTAAATATTTTTTTTATTAATTATAGTTTTTAGTAAATAAATTTATTAAATTTAATTAAAATTCTTTTATTTACTTTTAAAACAGAGCATTTTAAAATTTTTTAATTTTAAAATGCTCCGTTTTTTTTATGATAAAACTTCCAAAGTAAAAAAAGATTAAATAAATTTAATTCAAGTTACTTTAAAATGTTCGTATTACATATAACTTTATTTTAATTTTAGTTGAGTTTCAGGTAAGTTCCAAATACTGGTCTGAATAATGCGCTTAACAAAAGCGCATTATTTTCCAGTTTCATTCATTATTTACAGGAGCGCATTATTCATTTTATAATTACAAGTTAATAAATGACGTCAATACTTTTAAACTCGAGTTATAAATGTTATGTATGGGTTTCCCCTTTGCCGTTTGCCGAAGAATTTTTTTTATAAAACAAACCAAGGACGTATTAATAATACGTCCTTGAACAAACCAAAATTCAAACCTATTAAAAATAACGCAATCAGTAAATAAACTCTTTAAAAGCCCAACTTATCTTTATTTTATTTTAAAAACAAAACTAGTACAAGAGCTATAAATATAAGATACATAAATTTCAAAATTATAATGATATTTGTTAAAAACAAATTCTGCTAAACATCTTAAAACCGAAAACACTATTTTTTTTTTTTGGATTGAGTAAAAAAATATTAGGTTTCACTGTACATAAAAATAAAATATTTTAATGGAAATAAAAAAAAAACAAAGCCGAAAAAGCAGTAAATTTCGTTTCTTTACAACATTTATTTTATCAAAACCAGTTAGTGCAAACATTTTTTTTAAAAAAGGAAAACCAAATCTATGCGTTTAGTTATAAGTACATTTAAATCCGTTTAAGAAAATCAACCATAAACAAGTGTTAAATTTAAATTATTAAAAAAAAAATATTTAAAAAAAAACAACCATAAAACGAATGTTTAAAAGCAAAAAAATTAAGTTTAAATAAGTATAAGATTTTAATACAAGAAGACTTTTTTTTAATCAACATTGAAATTTTTTTTTTTTTATAACAACATTGTTCAATTTAAAGCTATTTTGTTTCAAAGACTAACAATAGTTTTTAATGTCATTTTAAATTTAATTACAATGAAGTAAAAACGCAACTGACGTAATTTAACTTTTAACAAAGTAAATATCTTTATTGAGTAAAGTTTCGCTTTTCTGTTACGCAGCAAAATCTCGTAACAAGGCCTGATATATATATATATATATATATATATATATATATATATATATATATATATATATATATATATATATATATATATATATATATATATATATATATATATATATATATATATATATATATATATATATATTAATACAATTTTTAAATAAGACTTTTAAGTTGAACTTTCTAAAAATATTTTTAGGCTAAATAAATATTTATATTCTCAAGACTTTAATCATAAACAATATATAATCCATCATATTCATCCTAAATCCAGGATTAGGAAAAATTACACTTCAAAGTCAACAAAATGAGAAACTATTAAATATATATAGTAACTATTAGATTTATAAACTAACCAGTTTAACAGGTTCAATTCCAGTTAATGAATCCCTAAAAGTAAATAAATAAATATATATATATATATATATATATATATATATATATATATATATATATATATATATATTTATATGTATATAAATATATATTCATATATATATATATATATATAAATATATATATATATGTATAAATATATATTTATATGTATATAAATATATATATATATATAAAATATAAAAATAGGTTTTTTTTAAACCTATTCCCAGCAAAATGATAAGACTTAGCAGGGGTTGATAGCTGGGGCTAGGAAAAAACTCATAATTATTTATATACAATAAATTTATGCATACATTCATTATTTATTTAATACTATTGTATATATATATATATATATATATATATATATATATATATATATATATATATATATATATATATATATATGTATATCAGAAATTATCCTAATTCTGATATATATATATATATATATATATATATATATATATATATATACATATATATATATATATATATATATATATATTATATATATATATATATATATATATATATATATATATATATATATATATATATATATATATATATATATATATCAGAATTAGGGTTGGCATTCAACAATACCAACCTAACTGCTGACTTAGAAGTGTTTGAGGTAATCAAAAAATTGCCAACCTTGTTTCTTTGTTTTATGGTAACCCCTTTGTGACAAATTTTTCTGCCGACCTGTAACAGTTTGAGATCGGCAATTTATTGCCAACCTCAATTTTCCTAATTCCTAGGGCTGATATATATTAGGGTGTTCTAAAACACTCATGAAATTTTTTTTTCAAAACTGCTGATTAAGTCCCTCCTAAAAGTTTCTTTATGGTCCCATTATAACACCTAATTTTGTTTAGGTCATTTAAATAATATTTAGAGGTCCACCAAGGGTCATGCCAAGGGTCACAAAGTACTAGAATATCACAGTAAATTGCATTTTATGTTTCTAATTTCAACAAATTTGGATAAATTTTCAGAGATCAGTCTTTGAACAAATGATAATTTATCAAAAGTTTTTTATTTGTAGAATCTAAAAATATAACTTTTGTGTACATGGAAATTTGTTCTCAAGGACAAATAATGGCAGAATCAAACAAAATCATGAATTTTTTACTTCTACGGTCGGACTAGGAACTAGGTATATTTTATGATACCTACTACCAAATTTACATATAGAAAATACATTGGCATCAGTTCTCAGTACCAAAATGTTTTAATGTTGACCCAATTATAATTCTATGTTCTTGTCTATATGTCCAGAAAATTATCACGATTGCACTTTGTCTGTGCTTCTCAACAACTTGCAGAAGATATTGTTTTTATTGTATATCTTTTGTTATAGTGGCATTGAAATTCTGTATGAGGGCAAAACCACATTCGACACAACCATTGAAACAGGCCAAGTTTTTTATCTCTTCACGTGCGATCTGATAAGATTGGCTTTTATTCCATTCTTCTACAGGCAAAACAAGAAAACTATTGTCAATTGTGTTAGTTTTGAAGAAACTTCTAGAAGTTAATTCCGATATTGAATGAGGAAGTGACTTGACCAAATGCAATCCTCTATCATCTTTGATTTCTGATACAAGCTTAGCTTTCTCTTCACAGGATAGATGTTGAGAAAACAGAGATAGTGTTGCATACTCTTGACTTAAGTACCAAAAATGCCAGACCATCTTCAGACCTGCTGTCTGCAAACCAAGGTCATCATAATCATGTAGCCTTTGGATCAGAAGTGTGTCATTGACTGTTGCATCTGCAACCATTTGATATAAAAACCAAGACTGAAAATATACTTTGACTACAAATCTGTTGAATCATTGTATTCCTTGAGATTCTTAAGCTGTAAGCTTTATTACAGAATCGTTACCATCAAAGAGCGATTAGGTCTTCATTGCATAGATTGCCTTTCTCATTCAATGTGCTTCATGAATAACACCAGTTTTTCGAATTCAAACAGCTGCTACAGTAGAATTGTTCAAACAAATTATGGAAGCTGCAAGTTGAAGAAATTCTATGTAGTCATCTCAAGGATGGCCAAGTTGAAGTTGCTCAGCAATGAATTCCTTTAATTTGCCACTTGCAGAGATCAGGGGTATTGGTCGGGCTTTAGTTGAAGTTGCTCAGCAAATCTGTTGTGCACTGGGTTGGCAAGCTTCTGCCTGATATCACTGGAGTAGACACAGAACAAGTGGATAGATATTTTTGATATCTTCTCTTGTTGATGGAAGCATCAAACTTCTGGGTGTGCCAAAGTTTTTCTTCTGGGTCAGGAAAGGCAGCAATGGAGGCAGTTTTGGACTTTTGAAGTCGTGACAGACAGATTTACTTGTGATCAGATTGTGCTTTGATGTATAACTATAACTGTATAGTTGACAGTGAAGTGGTTAGTACCAGTTTTTTTTTAATTTTTTTAAACATCAAAATCTCCTGTCCAGTGGATGAACGAAGGCACACTCCAAACGCATCTGACAGCAGCACCTTGAACATGTGATGGCGATAAGCCAACCATAGCAAATTTTGACCAATGGCTGACTCCAAAAGTGTGCAGGCCCCATTAAGCCAATCTGTATTTAAAGTTATACATCAAAGCACAATCTGATCACAAGTGAATCTGTCTGTCACGACTTCAAAAGTCCAAAACTGCCTCCATTGCTGCCTTTCCTGACCCAGAAGAAAAATTTTGGCACACCCAGAAGTTTGATGCTTCCATCAACAAAAGAAGATAACAAAAATATCTATCCACTTGTTCTGTGTCTACTCCAGTGATATCAGGCAGAAGCTTGCCAACCCAGTGCACAACAGATTTGCTTGCTCAAAAGTCCTCCTTGATCTGTTCTGAAGTTTCTCAACAAAACAGCTGTCTTTGACGATGAATCGCACTTTTTGAAAGAAATGTGGAAGATGATGAGCCATCTATTTCATTGACCAGAGATGCCAAGATCATGCTTGATGTGCAAATGATTGTATTTGTTCTGTCTAATACTGCTGATACTTTTAGAGTCAGCACAGAGGATTTAGGCTTTTTATTGCTACTTGTTTGTGGAGTTGTGGGCTTGAAAATGAATTCATCAGCAAATTCTTGTTGCTATTCATCAGAGGAACTGGCACTTGACTGGCCTGACTGAAGTGATTTGGCTGATCCCATTATATTGACATTAACACCATCACATTCTTCAGCTGCAGCTGCATTTAGAAACTGCTGACCTGATGAAGCTGCTATTTGCTAGAGTAATCACGCTCAGCTGATCATTTTTTATAGTAAAAAGTTTTTTTGTCAACAGACCCAATGTATCAGATTCTATTATTACCAACTCATTCAAATTAGCATGACTGATATCAAACAAATTATCAAGCCTCTTGCTTTATTCTTGATTTTAGGGATCTTTTGCATTATTTCTTGACCTGTTTCATTACCCCAACTTTCTAGTTATACAAATTTTTAATTTTCTAAACTATATCTGGTTTATGTCTCATCGGAAGTCTAGATTTCATCCAGAATGGCAACATTTGATCATAAACTTTCTGTGCACTTTTAGCCGCTGTTAGTTTTTGCTTACAGTGATAGAATACAAAGTTTCTAATAATGTTATGACCAGAAGCTAGACATGCCCCTGTTATCTTGTCACAGGGATGTCCAACCAGCCAGATTATATCGCTATTTCCAGTTGAGGTGGATTTAGCTATTACTCTGGAAATAATCAGTATTATTCAGTTATCTGTTATATATATATTATATATATTATATATTATTATATAACTATATTATAAATAGTTTTATTAGAAAACATACAACAATTAGACAACATGTAATTTCATACATGTGTGACTTCTTTTGTGAGCACTGAGTTTAATAGATCAGAAAAATAAAAATTATACAGACCTAATAGGCTAATAATATTGATTGTCACTAGCTACTTCCTGAGACTAGTATAGTCTTGAATCCTAAGACTAGTATAGTCACTAGCTACTTCCTAAGACTAGTATAGTCACTAGCTACTTCCTGAAACAACCCAAGTAAACTGATACTTTTTATCAACAAAATTAGTAATTATCTGTTAATATACAAAAAAATCTATTTTTTTAACTTACACTGTTCGATTTTAACAAGTTTGTCCATAAAGCATAATGGATAATTATAGTTATTGTAGGATTTCGAAAAATAAATAAACAAATTTTTCAAACTTCAAAGAAAATGTTTTCTCCCAATAGTGTAGGCAGAAAGCAGACTGCATACATGTCACATGACCAACAAAAAATATTCTAGAAATGATATAGTGTTTAATATTATGTACCTGCTATTAACAGAACTCATTAACCAATGATGTCACAAAGAATCATTATTATTGAAACTAAAAAAATCTAAAATAAGTTAATTTATTATTATAAATATTACTATTATTATTATTATTATTATTGTTATTATTATTATTATTATTATTATTATTATTATTATTATTATTATTATTATTATTATTATTATTATTATTATTATTATTATTATTATTATTATTATTATTACTATTGTTAATTATAATATGACATTAATTTAAGTCATTGTAATACTGATGAGCCTAATGGCTTAACGTAAAATTGTACATACAATACATATTATGCAAATTTATTAGTATCAAAAAATACACCGTAGAAGTTAAAAATTCATAATTTGCTTGATTTTGACATGGCTTGTCTATGAAAGCAAATTTATAATGTACACTAAAGTTATATATTTCTAGATTCTACAGATAAAAAACTTTTGCGATTTGATAAACAAATTATCATAGGATCAAAGACTAATCTCTAAAAAATTATAAGAGACATAGAATGCAATTTACTTCAATATTTTAGAACTTCATGATCTATGGGGGACCCCAAAATATTATTTAAACGATCTAAAAAAAATTAGGTGTTAATATGGGACCAAAAAGAAATTTTTAGAAGGGACTGCATCAGCAATTAAAAAAAAAAAATTTGGGCCACCCTAT